GAAGAAGAAGAAGAAGAAGAAGAAGAAGAAGAAGAAGAAGAAGAAGATCATCATCCCTGCTTTTTTAGATCTTTTTCCATGCTGATCACATTTTTTATTTCCTAATTACGAGGTGACTTGTAAATTCCCAAGAATTAAGCTGAGAATGTCAGGGTTGAAGCTTTATTTACAAACCATGATGGCTGGTTTCGGACCAAGCCTGGAAGACCCTCATCTCACTTAAAAAGGACCCTCACACAGCATTTGGTTTCATGGGTTTTCTACTTAAATATTAAAATGGACACTTTCATAGAATATTTATTTATTGAACCTGGTAAAATAGAAATATTAAACCTATAAGGTATCAACATCAATGTCTATGTCTTAGATGTATGGATCAAGCCTTTTTCCATTCATAATTCTGCACCTTAAGGTCAAGAGTATTTTTTTCTGAATTGTCTATTATATTGGTGTTCTAATATATATTCTTCCATTTTCACTACATCTTAATCTTATTCACGTAACAGAAGATGTGGATAGAAGAGACTAGTTAAGGCCATCAAGTCCACTCCCAATTCAATGAAAGAATCCAAAAATAGCCCAAGTCTGAATACACACAGTAGAGCAAAAAGAAACTCAGCTTCACTTCCTTTAGTCAGTGGTCCTACTCTCAAAAGAAGAGCTGTAAATAACTGTAATAAACTAGAGCGGGTCATTAAAAAAGCAGCTTGGGAAAAGGCTCTAACCGTCCACTTCCATGAATAAAATACCATGGACGTGTCTGGCAAGCCTAACCTGTTGCTCAAAGATCTTCCCTTTGATTTGGCCTGCCAAGCCGGCTTTTTGCTGGCGGGATGGAACTAGATTTCTATCTGCAGGGCCAGGGTCCTGTTAAAAGCTTTGCTTTGTAGGGTGAGATGGGTGGCATATAAATTGAAGTGAGAGAGGAAAGGGAAAGGAGAAAAAGACAAAGGAAAAGAGGGAAGGGAAGGAGGGGGTGAAGAAAGGAAGGAAAAAGAAACAAAAAATAAAGAGAAAAAAAGAAAAGAGAAAGAAAAAAGGGAAAAAGCAAGGACAAAGTAAAAGAAAGAAAGAAAGAAAAAGAAAAAAGAAGAGGAAGAAAAATAAAAGGAGGGAGGAAGGAAGGAAGGAAGAAAAAGAAGAGAAGAGAAAAAAGGAAGGAAGAGAGAGAAAGGAAGAAACAGAAAAAGAAGAAGAAAGAAAAAGAAAAGAAAGAAGAGGAAGAAAAAAGAAAGGAAGAAGGAAGGAAGAGAGAAAAAGAAGAGAAAAAGGAAGAGAAAAACAAGAAAGGAAGGAAGAAACAGAAAAAGAAAGGAAGAAAGAAAGAGGAAGGAAGAAAAAG